TGGAGCAGCTGGAGGAGGGCCTGCCCACTCCTAGCACTGCCCCTGCCCAGTCCTGAGCCACCGGCTCTTCCTTCCAGAGCCACTCACCTCTCTGGCTGGAGGCTGCAGGGCCCTGGGCCCTGGGGAACAGACCCATGAGGCTGGAGGGCAGGTCCTGTCGTGCGCGGTCCAGTTGCAGCCTCTGCTGGGCCAGACTCAGATGCTCCTGTCCCCGTTCCCCCGGAAAGAAGGACTCAGCTGTCAGGTGCGAGGCTGGGGGTGTCGGGGGCAGGGGTGCCATACACTCAGGGAGCCTTGCCTGGTGCATGTGCTGCTCCTGCTTCCGCAGCCTCTCCTGCTGTTGCTGCACCGCCTGCAACCGGGCCTGCTGCTCTGCCTGCACCTGCCGGGCCTCACGCAATGCTCGCTCGCCCTCCTCATACTTCTCGGAGGCCACCTGCAGGGAGGCCGCCTGGGTCAGGGCTGCCCGAGCTCAGCCGCGCCCACACCCATGTGCCCGAGCAGCACCTTGCTCATGCTCTCCACCTCCTCCGCGCGGAGCTTGACACGTAGGGCGGTGGCGTTGGTCCTCTCCTTCTCCAGCCGCAGCTCCTGCCGCTCCTGCTCCAGGGCTGCTCTTTCTGCCGCCAGCTGCTTCTCCTCAGCCCGGAGCTCGCTGGCCCTGATCTTCAGCTCAGCTTGCTCCTGGAGATGGCGGAGGCCCTGCTGCATTCTCCTCCCAGGAGTTGCGCTGCACTCTGTGCAGGACTCTAGGGTCCCCTCTGCCCACCCTGCCCCTGGGAGGGGGTGGTGGAGCCAAGGGCTTCCAGGGAGGGCCAGAGAAGCCTGGGGCCAAGCCGGGGTGCTGCCCTCACAAGCCACGTGACTGTGGCAGGCTCAACTCTGAAGTTCGGTTTCCTCATTTCTAAATGATCAAAGTCATGGGAATATGAGGATCCAATGATAAAATATGTATAATGCACCTGGGACAATACGAGGAAGCTGTTAGCATGATGATGTGATTACTGTTTTAATCCCTATGCTCTTGTGACATTAGTGCTACACTCTCCTTTCCTAAAACTAGAAGCGGATGTGTCCAGATAGAGGGGCGCAGGCTACCCCGGGCCCTCCACTGTCCAGAGGCTCTGGGCCCTACCTTGGCCAGGCTGATGAGGGTGCCCTCCCGCTGGGTGTCCACCTGCAGCGCCCGCTCGGCCTCGCGCTCGGCCCGCTCCTTACTCAGCTTTTGCTGTGCAGAGAACTCCGCCCACTCGGCCGCCAGGCGCCGCCGCTCCTCCCCGCACTTGAGCATGACAGACTTCTGCTCCTCCAGCAAGGTGCTCTGGGATGTGGGGGGTGAGGGCACAGGGTGAGTGTCCCTGGGCATAATGGCAGGGGCAGGGGCTGAGTGCAGTGGCTTGACTCACCTTGGCCCGCTCCAGCTCCGCCCTTTCCATGGCCATCTGCTGGGCCGTGACCTTCCTTTGCTCCTCTAGGGCGCGCTGCATGGACTCCGCCTTGGACTGCTCGGCAGTCACCCGCCAGCGTTCCTGTAGGGCCCAGGGCAGGACTGAGAGCGTGGTTCCCACCCTGAGGATCACGCCTGGCCACTCCCTGAGGAGCTGCACGAACCCACCAGTGTCTCCCACGCTATGCCACTGACCTGTCCTTCCCAAAGAGGCATAAAATGAGGGGTGCCTGAGAGGCACTGCCAGGGCCCAGCCCGCATGATTCTGCCCAAGAGGAGGACCCAGCAGGTGCCCTCCCAACTCTCAGGTCTCCAACAGCACCAAGGCTAGCAGCTTGGGAGGGCCAAGGAGCAGCAACATCCCTGCCGCTGAATGGCCAGCTACACACTCTGCCTGTCCTCACCCATCAGCCAAGCAGGCTGAGCACAGGGTGGCCTAATGCTGTGCTGTGGGCCCAGCCACACACAGCACGAGGCAAGAGCTTCACTGTGCCTGACCCCAGGCAGGTGCTTAACACAGTTACCAAATGAAGAGGCGAATCAAAATGGTTCACAACATAAAAGCATCTCTATCTATGTTGATATGGCTATAGGATAGATATCAGCTCAGCAGTGGACATCTCTGACTAGTGAGATATTTTTATTTTCTTCTTTAAAAACTTTTTTTTTTTGGCCAGGCACAGTGGCTAGGGCCTATAATCCCAGCACTTTGGGAAGCCAAGACAGGTGGATCACCTGAGGTCAGGAGTTCAAGACC